CTCCTGTACCAAAAAAGTTATAAGACATATATTCGTCGGACGTTAGTGGCACACGCCTTTAATCCCAGCACTCCGGAGGCAGAGGCAGGCGGATCTCTGTGAGTTCGAGGCCAGTCTGGTCTACAGAGTGAGTGCCAGGATAGGCCCCAAAGCTACAGAGAAACACTGTCTCAAAAAAAAAAAACATATTTCATGAGGTACCTTGTAAATATCACCTCCCCAGAATGGCCATGTCTCCTCCCTAGACCCTGGGCTGCTGGGGGTGGGGGGCTTGAACCAAGTTATCAGTCACAGGTGACCAGTGACTGCTTTTAGAATCTAGCCCCAGGGAAAGCTCTGCCCAGGCTCCTGTCAGCCCACCCACCTGAACTCAAAGTCTGCTTGCTAGATATCGTCTTGAATAGTCACCATCCTCTGAGGTGATTCTCAACCCCTCCCTGAGCGACTGTGACTTTGTGTGTTCTACAGACAAGGACCTGAGGACCATGTCATCTGCTCAAGGTCATATGTCTACCAGAAACCTGGTTCCAAAGCCAGGCTGACTCCTCACACAGCTGCCTGCGATGCCTGAGAAGGCCCCTAAGCAAAGCCTTGTAGTCACTTGGCCCCAGGGAGAAGGCTCTGCACACACCTGTCAGGACAGTGGGAACCAGGTTCCACATCACAGCGGACAGAAAGCCAGCAGGGTGCTGCTCAAAGCCAGGGTGTGGTCAGAGAGGGGCCCCTCCCAACCCAACCCCACCCAGACAGATAAAGCCAACAAAAGTTTGCCTTTGGTCTCAGAACCCCTGAACCCCATTTCCAATAACAAAAAAAAGTGAAATGGAAGGAGCCACAGGGGGGCCTGGCTATTGCTCACCCCACGGAAACAAACTCTCTGTAAACTAGCTAACTGGTTCTGAAAGAAAAGGGGTTCTATTTTGTCCCCTGTCGTCAGGGCTGCAAACCCTGATATATCTTGGGCAGGGAGAAGTGGTTGGCTCAGCACTTGGAGAGATGCCCACAAGACAGGAAGTGGGGAGGATGGCTCAACAGGTGCCTCTCTATTCTGAGCATGGTCCTGTGATGGGTGAGTGTACATCCAGCTGAAATAAAAAATAACTTTCAATACCCATCCCTGGCACAAATGGCCGACAGCCTCCTTTCTTCTGAGGACAAGGAGTGCACTCCGAGGCTCCTTTTGGCTTGGCTACTTTGGCAGTTTTGCTGCAGCGGTAATACCCCACCCCCCCACCCCAGGCTGAAATGGGCTGGTGAGCGTGAATGTGTCCTTGTGTCCTCCCACAGAAAAGCTAGAGGCTGCAGCTCTCTGGAGTGTCTGCCTGGGCACTGTCTCCTCAACCCTGAGTCTTCATCATCTGAAAGGACAGAGGACTGAACTTTGCCTCAGAGGGACGGAAGTGGGCTGGGGGACAGGGGAAACAGAGTTTCTCAACTGAAGTCCTTGTGGCCCAATTTGATTTAAAAATTTAAATTCGCCGGCCGTTGGTGGCACATGCCTTTAATCCCAGCACTCGGGAGGCAGAGGCAGGCAGATCTCTGTGAGTTCAAGGTCAGCCTGGTCTACAGGGCGAGTTCCAGGACAGCCTCCAAAACAATACAGAGAAACCCTGTCTTAAAAAAAAAAAAAAAAACTTAATTCATTCTTAAGGGTGTGTGTGTGTGTGTGTGTGTGTGTGTGTGTGTGTGTGTGTGTGTGTGTGTGTGTGTAGTATACATGTGGAGATCAGAGGACAACTTGTTAGGAGTCAGAGCTCATCTTCCACCATGTGGATCCTAGGGATCAAACTGAAAGCATCAAGCTTGGCAGCAGTCACCCTAGCCTACTGAGCCTTATAGTCAGCCCTAGATTCTTCTACTCGATTCTTTGGATGGCAGACATTTTCCAGTGAGCTGATCACACCATAGGTGAAAGCTCAGTGAGCTCCATGCAGAACTCCACAAGCCTTGGTCTTTTCTTCAGCAAAACATATGAACATTCAAACTCTGTGAGATTTGACATGAACTCTAACCACTGACCACTTCACCTCAGGGCTGTAGCCAAATGCTTGCCCAGCCTTGTGAGGACCTCACAGCATCAGAGTCTGGGGAGTCTAACCCTGCAAATGAGTAACAGCCTTCGTCCTAGCGTGCCCAGTGTCTGTTCCTGGTGTTCCCTGACTAGCTGGCCTTGAGAAAGAACATCCTCTCTGAGCCTCGGTTTTTCGTTGAAAAATGGCCCTGTGGTTTTAAGACATGAAGAGGAGACTCACTGGAAGCAGGACTGTACATATCAACAATCCCAGCAAACACTGGTTACAATAATGTAGAACCTGGCGTCTGTCTGCATACAAGACAGAGCCTTTCAAATCAAGCACATAAGGCTGGTACACACACACACACACACACACACACACACACACACACACACACACACAGAAGATCTGTCAGGAATGAAGAAATCTAGCCTCTAGCCACAGGCCAGATAAGACACTGTCGCCCTCACTAGTCCAAGAACCATGACACCTAAAGGGTTAGGAGGTTCCCCAGACTCACAGGGCTGCTGGGGTCAAGGGGTCAGATTGAGGGCTAGCTTAAGCCCAGGAAATGGTTGTCTACAGGCCAACCCCTGTAGAGGCACAGCCTTGCCCAGGAAACAGTGATGCTGGGGCCATCAAAGCCTACATCCTAGACAACGGTGCTGGCTCCATGACTGTCCCTTCCTATATGCCTGATACCTCCATTCATGCTGTGTTACTTTTCTCATTGTTGTACTGAAATAACTAACAAGAGCAACCTAAGGAAGGTCTTGGTTTTGGTTCACAGTCCCTGGATACAGTCCACCATGGGGTAGAGGGTCTTGGTGGCAGAAGTTGGAGTCACCTCTCACATTGCATCCACAACCAGAAAGCACAGAAAGATAAATGGTGACATTCAGCTCACTTCCTCCTTTTTATTGACACTAGGCTCCAGCGTAATGGAGATGTTATGCACATTAACGTGTCTCCCCATCTCAGTTACCCCAATCTAGTAACTCGCTTTCAGACATGCCCAGAGCATCCTGAGACCCCAGATCCTGTCAGATTGGCCATCAGCATTAACTGTGATACATGATTTCTCTAAAGAGGATACAGGCTAAGTGGCCAGAGATTCCTGGATGAGCCCTGGTCCCAGTACAGACTCCTCCCCCAGGAGGAATTCCTGGTATCTGCTGTGTCCCAAAACACTTAGTCACACATTTGCAGACAACCAAACAAGAACCAAGATGATTCTTGGGGAAATAACCCTGAGTAACCTCCCACTCCACCTGCCCTCCAGAGCTTTGTACCTTAGTCTCTTTTCTGGCAAAAGTAACTTCAGGAGAAACGGCTTACTTTAGCTCAGTCTCAGCTTATGGTGGGGAAGTCAAAGCCTCAGGAGCTCAAAACAGCTGGGCACATGTGTCTAAGTCAGAAGAGACCTGTGAACGCGCCTGTGCTAATGTTCGGTGCTCTTTCTCTGGTTTATACAGTCCAGGATACTCAGCCCAGGGGACAGTCCCACTCACAATTAAGATGAGCCTTTGCACAGCAATTAGTATAATCCAATAACGCACAGGCATGTCAGAGGATCATTTCCCAGGTGACTGGAGATTTTTGTCTACTTGACAGTTAACCCTGACCTTCACACACTGATCTTCACTCCTTTCTTTGACTCTGGAGAAGCTTTTGACCCACGCGTGACCTCAAGAAGCTGAGAAAGTGTGGAGGTTACATGGCAGAGAGTGGGTGATGAGGCTTCTGGCTCTGAAGTCACCAGTGTCCACATGAGTGATCTAACTGCCACAGGCCACCATGTTAAGGAAGCCCAAACTGCCCACATGGAGTCCACCCACAGGCAGGCTCAAGGCTAAGTGGAGAGAGAAGCATCCATCATCTGCCAGCTACGCCAACTCTATCAAATCTAACCCAGCAGCACCAGACACCCCAGGCCAGAGCCTACCGGCCAGCCTTCCCCAGACCTCAACCCAAAGGAACTGAAAGACCAGGACAAGCTTGCTGCTGTTTTAGCGGCCAGATTTTGGAAAGGTTTATTGAACAGTGTAAATGTCTTCATCCTAACAGAAACAATGAAAAGGAGGATTTACTTGGGGTCCGGGTTTAGGAAGTGTGGAACAGCCCCATCCTCACGTGAAGGTGGGAGAGTGGGGCAGTGGCGAGTCACAAGATGGTAGACCGGGAGGCAGATCAAGCCAGCAAAAGATAGGGCAGCACAGGACCCTCAGAGGTCCACTCTCAGTGACCAACATCCCACCCAAAGGTCCCCCAGCCTCCCAGAATAGTTCACCAGCTGGAGAAAGCACCCAAGCATGAGCCTGTGGAGGGCGGTTCCGGTTCACACACTCACACACAACAGACAGCAGAGCCTAGGGTGGCCATGTGTCATGAGGATTTCTCCCACAGGGAGACACAAACAACATCTATCCCCTCCTTATAATGCCTCAATAACGAACAAAGTATGAATCCACCAAAGTCCACCGTAAGGAGCCACTGAGTTGAGTGGGCTTACTTCCAGAGCACGGAAATAGGGTGACTTCCAGAATTATGTGTGGCACCAAGGTGGTCACACCACCAGAAAGTCCCACACCAACGCGGATGACAACTTCCCTACAGCTGCATAGATGGAGCCGCCCCTCCCCCTTGCCAGCCTCCCCACAGGCCGTATAATCCAGCACCACCTGAGCCCATGGAGCCACAGTCAGTCAGGGGAGAATCACCTACTGCCCAGGTGCAGGAGAGAGCCCTGGACTCTCAGGTGAAGGTCCAGTGGCCCTCCCCGCCTCCTCAGGGGTCTCCTGCAAGAAGCCACAGCTGCTCTGATGCTCAGAAAGTGCACTCTGTACACCGCATCCCACACTACAGTTATTCAGTGACCCCTTTCTCTCCCCCAACATGTCCTAATTTGGGTGATAAATTATATGGTCACCCTTCATTTGGCCAAGCATTCCCCTCACAACCAGTATGATAGAGTACATGACATACCTTCAACGCAGAAAGTTCAAGAAATTGATGCTCTCAGGTCTGCTTATGTGGTGAGTCCATGTGGGGAGCCTGGGCTTCCCCATAACATGGCAGCTTCGAGTGATCAGATCACTCCTGTAGGTACCGGCAACTTCAGAGCTGGAAAATGTACCTCCCACTCTCCACCATGGAGCCTCAGAAGTCTGTCATTCTGCTATTCCAAAACCGAACTCTAATTTCTTGAACCCTGGGTATGAGGCAGGATGGGGCGAGAGGGAGGAGGGCAATGAGAAAGGGCGATGGGAAGGAATATGACCTGTGTATACCGTGTGTGTGTGTGTGTGTGTGTGTGTGTGTGTGTGTGTGTGTGTATGTGCGTGTGGGTGTGTAGAAATGTCACAGTAAAAACCATAGTTACACAAGTAACATGGAACAGTTACAATGTTACATAAAAATTTCAAAGCAGCCAGGTGTTGGTGGCGCCTGCCTTTAATCCCAGCACTCGAGAGGCAGAGGCAGGCGGATCTCTGTGAGTTTGAGGCCAGCCTGGTCTACAGAGCGAGTTCCAGGACAGCCTCCAAAACAATACAGAGAAACCCTGTCTCGAAAAAAAAAAAAAATTTCAAAGCAAGAGCCAGGCATGATGGCTCACATCTGTCATCTCTGCACTCTAGAGTCCAAGCTCAAGGCCAGACCCTAAAAGTGTCTTCATCCACTCAACCACACAAACATGACACCAATAGGACACTCCCACACAAACCCAGAATCCTCTTCCCTTTGAACTGAAGTCCCTGAGCCCAGCCCACAGGAAAACACTGGGATTCCTGCTGACACAGTAAGAATGTGAGAGACAGAAATGGACAAGACAACCAGCCGAGGCCTCTTCCACCAGACTACCTGGTGAGGGACCTTTAGAGTTGACCAGGCTGGCCTCGAACTCATGGAGATCTGCCTGCCTCTGCCTCCTGATTAAAGGTGTGTGCCACCACCGACCTGCGAAACTTGCCCATCTTATAGAACTGTCTTTTCTTTAAGTCATTCATGGAAAGCACCTGTCACCCTGCCTGGCATAGTCAGTACTCCGGAAATGTTATATCCCTCCTTAAGGCACTGTAGGTTCTCATTGGAACATGCACTTCTGTTACCTGTACAGATGTTATATCAGAACAGGGCAGTATAGCACAGGATGGTGATTCTTGCTCCCAGATGTGACTTGTGGGCACATACAGGAGGGCTGGCAGGCTCTTGTGGCTACTTCCATCTACATGGAAGTTCTCTGAAACAAGAATCGACTCTGCTCACCGTAAAACGAGAAGGACCCTGAGGTGAGGGGAAGCTCTCAGCGATGTGGGAAGAATGCCTCCTCTTCTACAGACTCCAGGTCTTTCATTCCTTTGCTTGGTCGGCAAACCCTTATTAAGCACCACTCTGCACCTAAAGCTCCATGTGCTGCCAGAAACATGAGACTCAAGTAAGTACTCGGTAATACATCTTAGTTAGGGCTTCCATTGCTGCAAAGAGACACCACGACCACAGAGACTCGCAAAAGGGAAAACTTCTCTTTGTGGTGGCTCCCTTACAGTTCAGAGGTTTAGTCAGGCAGCATGCAGGCAGACACGGTACTAGAGAAGGAGCTGAGAGGTTTGTTTTTTTTTTTTTGGTTTTTCGAGACAGGGTTTCTGTATTGTTTTGGAGGCTGTCCTGGAACTCACTCTGTAGACCAGGCTGGCCTTGAACTCACAGAGATCCTCCTGCCTCTGCCTCCCGAGTGCTGGGATTAAAGGCGTGTGCCACCAACGCCAGGCTTGAGCTGAGAGTTCTTACAATTTAACTCACAGGAAACAGGAAGTGCTCTGTCTCACTAGGCGAGGCTTGAGAATACATGAGACCTCAAAGCCCGCCTCCACAGTGACACACTTCCTCCCACAAGACCACGCCTACACTAAAAAGGCCACACCTCCCAATGGTGCCGCTCCCTTTGGGGGGCATTTTCTTCCAAACTACTACATAATATGACAAGACATATAGAGATGAGAGTGTCCAGACAAGGTACCCACCTGCCTTGTTTGCCTATGTTCAGCTCTTGGTCAAATGTCACTTTTTAAAGTTATTTTTTAATGTGTAGAGATGTTTTGCCTGCACGTATGTCCATGCACCACTTGCATGCCTGGTTCCCCCAAAAGCCAGAAAAGAGCATTGGATCCCCTAGAACTGGTGTTACAGATGGTTGTGAGCACTGTCCTTCCTGGGTGCCCAGGTTTGGTGGCTCTAACTGCTGACCTGTCTCATCAGCCCCCAAATGTCACTTCTTAGGAGACACCTTTCCTACCACCTCAGCCTCCCTCTCACAGCACACCGAACACCCCAAATGGATGGAGCCCACACCTCTCAGGTGCTAGAAGTCACCCTGAAGAAGCAGGTGGAGGTCTCTCATTAGACATGTGAGCTTGGGTAGCTAACGCACCTCTCACATCTTCTTTTGTCCATGTGTAAAGTTTGTAATTAAAATACTGTAACCGGGCCGGGCATTGATGGTGTACACCTTTAATCCTAGCACTCGGGAGGCAGAGGCAGGCAGATCTCTGTGAGTTCGAGACCAGCCTGGTCTACAAGAGCTAGTTCCAGGATGGCCTCCAAAACCACAGAGAAACCCTGTCTCGAGAAACCATTAAAAAAGAAAAAGAAAAATACGATAGCCAGGTTGGAGAGATGGCTCAGGGATCTATTCTTCCAGGGGACCTGAGTTCAATTCCCAGCCACCAGATGGTGGTTCACAACCATCTGCAATGAGATCTGCTGCCCTCTTATGGCCTGCAGAGATACATGCAGGCAGAACACTGCATACATAGTAAATAAATAAATCTTTTGAAAAAAATAAATAAAATACTGCAATCAGTGCTGGATGTGGTGACACATGCCTTTGAGGCATAACCAGGTGGATCTCTGTGAACAGGAAGCGATCTTGTTCTACATAGCAAATTCTGAGCTAGCCAGAGATACATAGAGACCCTGACTAACTAACTTACACACACACACACACACACACACAAATGCTGTAACCTTAGGAATAACTGAAACACAAGGTTTTATCACATAACTCTCTGTGCTAAACTTAGCCATTATGAGCCATACCGAGAAGTTCGTTACTCAATTACCCAAGGAGATTTTGCTCCTTTCCATATGAGGCAGATTGTGAAAATTCTTTAGTGAAAAAGGCCCCAGTTCCCCACTTCACACTTTCTGACAAGAATGTAAACTTTGAGCTGGGTGATGGTGGCGCACGCCTTTAATCCCAGCACTCAGGAGGCAGAGGCAGGCGGATCTCTGAGGCCAACCTGAACTACAAAGTGAGTTCCAGGACTACACAGAGAAACACTATCTTGAAAAAAAAATAAAACAAAAAACAAACAAACAAACAAAAAAAAACAGCCGGGCATTGGTGGCGCACGCCTTTAATTTCAGCACTCAGGAGACAGAGGCAGGCGGATCTCTGTGAGTTCGAGACCAGCCTGGTCTACAAGAGCTAGTTCCAGGACAGCCTCCAAAGCCACAGAGAAACCCTGTCTCGAAAAACAAAAAACAAACAAACAAACAAAAAGAGCTAAGGGGGCTGGAGAGATGGCTCAGCGGTTAAGAACACTGGCTGTTCTTCCAGAGGTCCTGAGTTCAATTCCCAGCAACCACATGGTGGCTCAAAACCACCTTGAATGAGATCTGGTGCCCTCTGCTGGCATGCAGGCAGAAGACTGTATACACAATAAATAAATAAAATATTTAAAAAAAAGAGCTAAGAAGAATGTACTTTGTTTTGAGAACAGGTCTTATACAGACCAAACTGCCCTTGAACTTCAGGCTGAAAATGACTTTTTGTTTTTGTCTTTTGAGTCCTTGATCATCTGATCCTCCTGTCTCTACTTCCCCAGGTGCTGAGATTACAAGTATGTGCCTTCATACCTGGTTAACACTGGGCTGGGGATTGAACATGCTAAGCAAGCTCTCTACCAACTGAACCACATCCCCGGGGGGGAGAATGTGAGGAGCTCGGGGCAATCTTTTGTGTTGTCATGTCTTACTCCCTATCTCTGAGAGCAGGTTCTAAAGGTCTTAGGCCCACAGAACACCTCTCGGGGACACTCTGCAATGCCACCGCACCAGAGTGACCCAGAACAGCAGGGGCAGGACACTGCAAGAACAGCTTCAGGATGATCTGAAAATGAGGGAGGGACCTCCACACCCTTCTCCATCTGGAGAGAGCGGGACACCTGGGCCAGAGCAGGGGAAAGATGTTCAAACCCTGACACAGCAGAAGCTGCAGCAGATGGCCTCAGCGATCCACAGCAAAAAGGGAAAAAGACACAAAAGCAGGAGAGACCACATGATGGAAACAGTTCTGCAAAGATACACTTCTCCTTTAATTTTAGGACACGTCTCAATTTTATATTGATTTGGGGTCTTGCTGTAGAGCTTAGGCTTGCAGCAATCCTTCTGCCTCAGGTTCTCAGGTGCTGGGAGTTCAAGGTTAGCGTAGGTAATTTAGTGAGGCCCTGTTTCAAATGTTTTGGTGTCAGTGAGATAGCCCAGTTTTCAAAGACGGTGCCATTTCTCAGAACCTTCTCCAGCTTCACCAGCTAGCTCCCGTCTGGCAGTATGATCCTCCTGCCTCAATTTCAGACTACAGGGATCCCAGGATGGACTGCTACTTCTGGCTAGGAGCCAACTCTTAAAGGCACATACATGACAGGACCAAGGCAGTGACAGTGAACCTTTAGGGCAGAAAGAACAGCAAGTGTAGCGCCCGCTGGGAGGGAAATGAGAGCTGGCCATGGTGACCAGAGCAGAGGTTGTACAGAATAGCAGGCATCGGAGTGAGAAGGCAGCCAGGGATGTCAGGCCGCGGAAAGCTGATCTACTCACTCTATGTTATGCTTCCCTAGGAAGGTGCTAGCTGTGTGGGAAGACGTTTGCCCATGCTGAGGAGCAACCCACCAGGAGTACGAATAGATGAAGCTCTGACGGGAGACGGAACCCAAGGTGCGGCTCAAATTAGAATACGGACAGGCTAATCATGAATGGTGGGAAAACGAAAGGATTTTTTTGTTTATAGAGACAGGGTTTCTCCGTGTAGCCCTGGCTGTCCTGGATCTCGCTCTGCGGACCAGGCCAGCCTCTGCCTCGTGAGAGCTGCGATAAAATGCGTGCGACACCGCCGCCGGACCTATTTTATTTTACTTTCAATGAGCAACCAGGAACCTCCGTTGACTACTGAGGCTTAAGATCTGTGCGACCAGGGTTTGAGCCCTGGCGGCCATCCCAAAGTCCTAGCAGCCCGGACCGCGCAGGTCACCTGGCGGCACCCCTCACCCCGCTGGTAACCGGCACAGGAGAGGAGCGCGGCCACCTCCAGGGAAGGCTCGACCCGACCGAGAACCGGACGGGGAGGGGCAGCGGGAGCCCGGGGCATTGTGGGAGGCAAAGGGGCCGCGGCAGCCGCCAAGCATTGTGGGACACCGCGGGGCCGACTCGTGCTCCCCGCCCCAGCGTCCCTCGCACTGCGCGCCGCCACGTTTCAGTTCTGGGCCGCCGGCTAATGAGGACGTCAAGCCGGGAGCCGTGACAGACTTCCGGTTGGGCCTTCGCTTTACGGCTCGACGTTTTTCCGCTGACTAAGAAGGAAGGGGGGGGCGGTCCGCGCCGTTTACGACAGCGCCGGTCGCGGTTTACGGCGCCGGCTCTTGCGCGCGCAACTTTCCTCCTGTCTTGGGTCCTCCGAGTGTCGGGGCTGCCGCAGTCTCTGTCCCGTGCCATCTCTCGCCATCCGGGCCTGCGGAGCCCACTGCAGGTGAGCGGCTTGCTTCGCGGAGACCTGCGGACCTCGCGAGCCAAGCTGGGCTGGGGCTGGCTTCGGGGGGCGCCTCCCGGAAGAGCCTTCCTCCTTACGTCCCCTCCCGCCGTCGCCCCGGGGCGGGGCGGAATCTGCCTCGGGTGGTCCCAGGCGCGACCCTGTTAGTGCAGGACACCCCACACGGTGTGGATCCCTCGCCCGACGCTAAGCCCAGAGCCGTGGGGACGAAGTATCCTCCTCCGGGGGCTTTGAACAGTTTCCGTCTCTGCTCCGAAATGGGCGACTGAGAGGAGTGTGCTCCACTCTGGTGTGAAACCGAGTTCCTGGCTCCGTCTGTCGCGTCCTTGGCGATCCACACCGCGTTGTGGCCATCGTTTTTTCGTTTTCCCCTATCCGTTACTCTCTGGTTCACGTGTGGAGAAGCCAGAGGACTCCAAACCCCTGCCCATCCGGGGAGATGATGCCTGTCGAGTCTTGAACTGTCTTGAACTTGTGACAGTAAAATTACGGTTGCTTTTGAGACGGTTTTGTGGGTATGGCTTGAAGCCCCAGGTTGTCAGGCTGCCCCCCAACTGCAGTGTAGCCAAAGAAGGCCAGGCTTAGGCGGACAGCCTTGGAAGCTGTTTTGAGATGATGGGCAGGTGGACTGCTTAAGTTGGGAGAGCCAGCTTTCTCAAAGATGGTGGTTTGAGGGAGCAGTGGTGCGTGTCTACCCAGCACAGTACCGACACATTGCTGGGGCTCTCATTTCTTGTGAGCTGTTTGAAGGCCACACCCTCCCCCATGTTCTCTTCCTACAGCTTAGCGTAAGTTCTTACTTGGGGATGATGCTCCCAAGTTGATTCCTTGTTGCTCTCATCTAAATATCTTCAGCTTCCCTATGGTGGAACAAGGAGGAGAGATTACTAAGTTCTCCAGACATTGGCAGAAGGTTTCCTTCTTCTTCCTATTCTTTTGGTTTTTTGAGACAGGGTTTCTCTGTGTAGCTTTGGCTGTCCTGGAACTTGCTCTGTATACCAGGCTGGCCTCGAACTCAGAGATTCGCCTGTCTCTGCCTCCCGAGTACTGGGATTAAAGGTGTGCACCACCGACCAACTCTGTCAGATGCTTCCTGTGGGGTGACCAATGCATGTTGTTTGCCTGTTTTGTTTTGTGATGGGAAATGTCCAGGAAACCCCTGGATTGTACAGCTACAATGATTTTTACTTTCCTAAAATGAGCCTTGGCTTTATGCAGACTTCCGATTCCTGAGCTACGCTGCATGAGCTCCAGTTTTTAATTACCCGACATCACAACTTTCATTTCACTGTACTTTTCTGTTTTCCCCTGGAAGATGGGGACAGCACTGGCCTCTGCCCCGGGACCGTTAGAAGGGTCTGACGAGTGTGCTGGAAGGAGTGAGAACGATGTCTTGGTGCCTGTTTGTGTACCCTTGCCACTTTTGCAGCCATCTCCCTGGCCCTTACCTTGCTGGTTTTGCCCTGGAGTTTATGGTGACTTGGGTCACCTAGCAGTGCTGTCGCCTGGCTGCACGGGATTTGTGATGATGGAAAATTGGGAGACACAGAAAGGAAAGTCAAATTCCAGGATCTCCTTAAGGGGCTAGGGGACTTGTTTTTAGCCCTTTATTTTTACTTTCTTAGTTTTGCTGCTGTGTGTGTGAGTGCCAGCCCGTGCTTGCCATGGCATTCACCTGGAGGTCAGGGACCACATGTGGGAGTCGGTTCTCTCCTTCCACGTTGGTTCCATCTTTACCTACTTCACCATCTCACCAGCCCAAGGGTCTTTAAAGCCTCTGTGCCCGTGTGTTTGTGTATCTGAGTAGTAATTGTGTGGCGTGGTAACTAATAAGACTTTGACAGTGGTCCCTACTGATTGTTCTTTATTTTAGAGCCTGGTCTTAGAGAAGTTGGGTATTGGGTCCCTCGGTGAGGGTGTTTTTGAGGGAACTCATCTCACTTTTACCGTATTTCATGATTCTGAGATACCTTTACCTTATGTTACACTAAGAAAGAAAAGACAAGACATGACACCCCATCAAGCATAAGGCATGGCCTCATTTCAAAGATGTTCACCAAAAAAGAACATGTCCTAGAATTACCGAGACACAAGAAAATGTGTCTGGTGTCAGCGATGCTCTGAGTTTTAAGTGTTGGTAGAGCAGTCTACAAGAAAGCCCCGTTGGTGCTGCTCCAGAGCCCAGGGCTCCACTTTGTGTGCACCTCTATAATGCAGCTTCAGCGGAGCGTGGGGTGCTTGGGACTCGGTGGCCTCTCCTCAGAGAGCTGTTCACGGTGCTTGTTTTTTAAGGTTTCACACAATGGCGAAGTTCATGACCCCTGTGATCCAGGACAACCCGTCAGGCTGGGGTCCCTGTGCCGTTCCTGAGCAGTTTCGTGATATGCCCTACCAGCCGTTCAGCAAAGGAGATCGGCTGGGGAAGGTATTGGGTCCCTTCAGCTGGGGTAGCTGCTCCCCAGCTCCTCACTTCCTTTTGGCTCTCTTCGTGGCTATGCTTCCTTCAGGGGCAGAATTGGTCAGGGGTGGGGTGCAGACGAGTCAGAGGCGAAGCTGATGACTTCACTCAGTCTCCCTTACTCGCTTGGGTTTCTGCATCAGAAGCCTGCTCACCTGACCTCTTGTCTTCATCGCACCTAACAGGTTGCAGACTGGACGGGGGCCACGTACCAGGACAAGAGGTACACAAGTAAGTATCCTTCAGTGGCTATCCACATTTAGGCCTTGGGAAGATTGGTGCTTTGTTCAGTGAGCTCCACACTGAAAAGAAATGCTAATGAGACTTATTGGGGAATATATTCTGAATGTGTGCACTAAGCATGGTTTTGGAAATAGTCTCAGAAGTTACATTGTTAATTATTGTGAGGGTGACAGCCAGACTCCTAAACATGTTGAGTGTGCTGCAATTTGCATTTATTGCTTGGGACTTCCTGAGGCCATCAACCAGTGAACTGTGGACTTTCGGCCCCCCAGTTTAAGGTTCTGGTAAAGGAAAGTGCTTTTTTTGGTGCCAATTAGATGGTTAGAAGTTGGAATAGTAAGTTACGGTGGATGAGGTCAGAAAGAAAGTCTATCATGGTTGGTGGTGGTGTCCCTGGCTCCCATGATGGCAATGGGGGTACACTCGGATTCTTACTTGACCAGGCAGAGGTGAGGTGGGTTAACTTGAGATGCTTGAACTCTCTTGGTAAGCTCCTTAGACTCAAGCTCTTAAAACCTAAGTGTGTATGACTCACCTGGGATCGTGTTTGAATACAGATTCCCATTGGTCATGTCTGGGCAGGAGCAGTGAGTCTGCACACCTAAAGCTCCTGGCTGTGGTCCCCAAAAGTGCTACAGGCCCCAAAACCACACTTGAGAGAGCAAGGCTCAAGACTGCCGTGTGTGTGTGGCGCACAGCCTGTAGGGAGCACTTAGCTCACACCATCTCCTTTGCCTGCAGACAAGTACTCCTCTCAGTTTGGTGGGGGAAGTCAGTATGCATATTTCCATGAGGAGGATGAGACAAGCTTCCAGCTGGTGGACACGGCGCGCACGCAGAAGACTGCCTACCAACGGAACCGGATGAGATTCGCACAGGTAGGCCACAGGCTGGCAGCCTAAGCTCCTTGGAGCTTTTACCATGAGAATTTCTGCTGCTCAGCAACCACCTTGGGAACACTGATGAGACAGGAAAGGCTTGCAGGCCTCTGGCCAATCCCAAGTGGCCATTCAGTGACCATTTTATCATAATAACTTGCCTAGGGGTGTTTTGAAGGAGTTTAGATTTCTGTTCACAGTAGATCAGACATCACACAGCTGTGCTAGGAACCTATTTCCTCACTTAATTGCAGCATGCAGGCTTTGTTAATTAGATGGTTTGGTTGGGTGCCACATTAAGATGCAAACTTAGCAACTCTAGTAAAACTAGTAAACCCACATAAGTGGAAATGAGTCCAAGCTAACACAAGTGCTTCTCCCCTTAACGCAAATACTGTAGATGCTATAGGGTAAAAGAACAGAGATGAGAAACTTGGACTTCACACCCTAGACTTGCTCTCAAGATACCAATAAGCTGTGACTCTTAAGAGAGTAACATGGGTCTCTTCCTGCTTCCCAGCGGAACCTCCGCAGAGACAAAGATCGCCGGAACATGGTGCAGTTCAACCTACAGACACTGCCCAAGAGTGCCAAGCAGAAAGAGAGGTAAGCGTCCCTTCCTCTGGGTCAGAGCTGTGTTCCCAGATGGGCTGTATTCAGAAATCGTGGAGCCGGGGCAGGGGTTGGCTGTCTTTCACTATTGCAAAAGAAGCCAATACCTCTTAGCCTAATGCTGTCCCAGACTGGGTCATGGTGACTGGCAGGAGGTGACTGAGGTGGGCGTTTGTGCTGTAACAGCAGCAGGTAGAACTGAAGTGGCTCTGTGGCCTCTGTAGGTCCTGGGTGCCTACTTCAGACAGCACCTTATGCACTGTGGGTCCTTGGGCTGAGCACAGCTGCCTCCACACCCTAGCCAGGATTGCCAGTAACTGTCTCTTCATCTCTAAGCCACCGTTTTCTACCCTGGTAGCGGCCAGGAAAGATACTTCAATTCAGCTAGAAGAAGCTACTGAAAACACAGCCTTCTTCCTGTCTGTCTGTCTTTTCAGAGAACGAATTCGCTTGCAGAAAAAATTCCAGAAGCAATTTGGAGTGAGGCAGAAATGGGACCAGAAGTCACAGGTAGTGTGCCCATACCAAAATTCTGTTAGGAATTGGGTGGGTTTGTTTTCTTTTTATCCTTAAGAGATGGGAGTTGTACAGTGCAGTGTGGTCTCTGGTGT